TGCTAACATATACCCAGTCCCTGCTGATGTAGTTACTTAAGTGCTAAGTAAATGCAAAGGGGCCGTTGATACTTAAACATTTTTACCTATTCCTGGAACAACAGCAGGTCAGGGCACTAATTTGGGATTATGGCAAAGACAGTAGTTACTACTTGACTAAAACTTTCCGTCTTTTATTTTGAACTGTATTTTTTATATTTTTTTCCTAACATGATACAGTAATACTCACAATATGACACTTGCCAGGAAAATGCTACAAATTTGTTGTCAATTTTTTAAATTTTAAAAGCTTTGTTGAAAACAACGACTAAAGTAGCTACCAGAAAGGTGTGTCATGACATAACAATTTACCTTTAGGATAAGACTTGAGTCCAGTTTTCATACCACTTGTAAGCATTGTCTGTTCTTCCCCAGGCATGACAGAGATGGTACGTAAGATCACCCTGAGCCGGGCTGTGCGGACCATGCAGGATCTGTTTCCTCTTGAGTATAACTTCTATCCTCGATCCTGGATCCTGCCAGAAGAATTTCCCCTCTTTGTGGATGAGGTTAGATTACTTTTACTCTCAGAACAGTATAACTTGTTGGATATTGTTGCCATGGCATTCTTTATTTTTTTTAATACTTGTCAGATTATTTATAATCACACTTGGGTGCTGTGCTTGACATCTTTTTCAGTTTGCCTGAGATCAGTCATAAGATAGAATAATAGAATAATTTAAGTTGGAAAAAAACTTCAAGATCATCAAGCCCAACCTTTAACCTACTCTATGTTCACCCCTAAATCATATCCCCAAGCACCACATCTGTACAACTTTTAAACACATCCAGGGATGAAAGCAAGAAGCTAGATGAAAGATGTATATATCCAGATGTATAACAGAAAACAAAAAAAACCCTCAAACAGAAATAAAACACTTGATGCATTTCTTGAAATCCTGTTTGCATATCTAGAAGAACTGACATGGATATTCTTAAAATCATAGAATGGTGAAGGTTGGAAGGGACCTTAAAGATCATCAGGTTCCAACCCCCCTGCTATGAGCAGGGACACCTCCCACCAGACAAGGCTGCACAAGCCTCATCCAACCTGGCATTGAACACCTCCAGGGATTGGATATCAACAACCTCCATGGGCAACCTGTTCCAGCACCTTCCTACTCATGCTGGAGTATTTTTTCCTGATGTCTAACCTAAATCTCCCCTCTTCAAGTTTAAAACCATCACTCCTTGTCCTATCACTGCCCTCTCTGGTGAAAAGCCCCTCCCCAGCTTTCCTGGAGCTCCTTCAGATACTGGAAGATGCTCTAAGGTCTTCCTGGAGCCTTCTCTTCTCCAAACGTCGTTTGGATGAACTGCTTTTTGTTACTTATGTTCTAGAATAAACTTAAAAACAATTCTACTTCTCTGCAATGCCAGAAGAGATGTCTCAAAATGAAGCATGGTAGAACTGTGACCTTTCTCTTCATATTCTACTGAGTTTGAAAGGGCTGAGGAGGCTCCAGTACAGTGGTGTGTGACTGGTTCCTCACCAGCCCCATTGTCACTGAAATCTTTTTAGTCCATCCTGCCCCTTGTAACCAAATTCTTCAAACCAGCATTTGTACTTGTTAGATACACTCACATCTTCCTGAGTAATTGTTTGCATCTCTTGTCAGACCATTGCTTTGTTTAAATACTCAGAATGAAATAAAATTCCATTCTTCCTGGGCTATTAAAAAATATTTTTTTAAATATTGTGTTTGTTTTAAATCCTGTCTGACTTGCCCAGTGCAGCCTTGTATTCTACGGTGTCCCCTGCTTGGAAAAGTGAGATAAAAAAGTATGGACTTTAGACTTCTCTACTGTGGTACTTTTTTTTGGATAATTAGCATATCCACAATCTGATTAAATCTATGAACATCTTTCAATATTCACTCTTCAGGTGTGCTGGGTCAGTGCTGTGGTACTGCTAGAAGCAGTAAAAGTGAGCAAAATCCCAACAGTGCCTCAGCCTTGTTGCTTTAGATGTGAGACCCTATTCGTAAAAGGAGTGTAAATTACCCAATCCATTCAGCAATGACAAGTACAGAAGTGCAAATAAGTTGAAAGTAAACGTTCCAAACGGTGCACTGGGCTTGCAGGCAGGACTCCTGGGGAATGGTGCCTGTCTGGCTCCGGAGGGTGTGGGCTGTCCCTGAGGTGACACGGTGGGGCTGTCCCCCAGGTGTCAGGGTGTGGGGTGTGACACGGTGGGGCTGTCCCTCAGGTGTCAGGGTGTGGGGTGTGACACGGTGGGGCTTTCCCTCGGGTGGCAGCCTGGCCCCGCACACTGGCAGCAGGTGGCACTGCACATAAATGCTTCTCTGGTTGAACTGTTGCTGGAGTGAAAACGAGCCGGTTTTTGTTCCAAGAATAACAGATGTCCAGTAACACACTCCTAGGAGTTTCCTTTGCATATGTTCTTCCATCTGTGTTTGAGAAAAGCATAGTTCTTGTTATCAAACATTGTATTTTATGTTGTTAGAGTTTATGTTCTACTTAAACACAGGTTTGTAATGTAACCACTCCAAAGCCAGAAAAATACAAACCAAAACATTCCAAGTCCACTGTGAACCCTAAATTAGGGTTCAGAACACTTTTCATTTGCAGTTTCATGAGTTCTCAGTAGGAGCTCCCCAGTCTTGTCTGTTTGTTCTTACATGGTTTGGTTTGCTTGACAGTCAAGGGACCCTAATGCAGCTGGAAATGTCAGATCTCTGAGGCTCATTTTGCAGCTCATTCCCAAGCAGGTTCCAAACAGCACATGTGATGCCTGCCTGTTGGAACAGGCATCCACCTGCATATGTGACTGTGTGTGCATTTATCTGAGCAAAAGAGCATTTGGCTATCTCCAGTGCTGCTGGAAGGAAAGCTCCCTGTTGTGGGCTGCAGCTGCTCAGCATGGAGCTCCAGATGGGTTGTGCTGAAACCTGCCTTGCTGGACCTTTGCTGTTAGTGGTGTTCCAGCCCTCTAGGGCACAGTTAATTACCACAGGTCACATTTGGTGTCACTGCAGGGACAGGTTAGACATGAGAAGATGGTTTGATGCTGTTTGTAGTGCAGGATTTTGTTGCAAAGAGCTGGGCTGAGAAATTAACACCACTGAAATTTTGCCTCTACTAGAAATTATCACTGAAAGAAGAAACTCCTTGAGAATTTTAATCTGCCCCTCCTGAAGCACTACAGCATTTCCAAACACTTTCTTTCTCAAATAGTGCTACTATGCCTCGGTTCTGCAGACGTGATCATGAACTTCTATCATACATCTGTATCAATAAATTATTGATGTGCTGTCAGCTTTTCCCTTGTCCCTTAATCCAGGTAGAAAACACTGCAGCTAATGTCATATTAATTAGCCAGTAATCAATGGGAGAGCCACACTCCTGAGTTTGTTCTGGATTAGCTTCATGTTGGGAAATACTATGGGAACTACCATTTTCTTGGAGTCATTAGTATGAAACTGAAATGGTGACAGGTATTTTTAACAAAGGCTTAAAGGTTAATTCTACTAAGTAAATAAATATTTAGCTCTTTTCGATACTCACCTATTTTTTACCTTCTAAAGTGCTCTGTAGTAACATGGCACTGAAGCAGATGTTCTGGATGAGCAGATCTCTCAGGTGCTACAGTAATCACCCCTTTACTAACAGAGAAGAATCTGTTAGAATCTGTGTGAACTTCTTTCTAATAGGAAATTCCAATCTCTGAAAAGTAACTAGCTTGAGATTCAAGCCAGGGCCTTGATTACTCTCATACTGCCTTCTCTGTGTTGTCTGTGAGGGTGATGAATAGCCCTAGAATTATTAATTTTTAATAAGAATCTAATTTGGACAGTCTAATTTCTTGCACAGCATATTTTTGGTAGTTTAATCAGTTTTTCAACTTTTTGATACCTCTTAGGCATAGATGTGAATATTCTAGTCTTTGTGCTGTCAGATCTTACAGCTCATTATATGCATTTTTTTCAGAACACTATTCATTCAGCCTGAGTTCCCTCATGAAAGGCAAACCTGCAACTGGATCAGACTTTCTACCATTAGTATCATACCCTTCTCTTGCTGTTGACTATAAATGGTTAATATGTTTTTAAAGATAATTTCCTTCTGTCAAACTAAGTCCACAGATCTATCTCATTTCATTTGAAGTAATTTTCCTACATTACTGAGTTTTCTAAGTCTGGACAAGCCTCTTCATGAGGAGAATTTGGAATAATATAGTTGAGTGGATTGTGGAGAATTTGAAGATGACTGTCAGCAATTTCCCTCAAGATCAAGATTCCATCTACTTTCTTCAAGCTGCTGAAAACCAGACTGACTCTGGATTACTATTCCACTTTTCCCCACTCTCCTATCTTCATCTGCCATGTGTGAGTTTTAATGGCATGGAAGACCTGAGTATTATCCAGGCCTTCTAGTCCATCAAACAATAGGCTAGAAAATGACTGAGAAAAGTATTTCCTTTCCAGCTAAATGGAATGAGTTAAGCATGAGCTCTGTTAAACCAATGCTCATTAAAATGCAGGACTTCAGAAGCAGGTTGCTATTGCATCTTTAACAACAGTCCCCAGAAAATGTTACCTTTCTGAAAAGGTGCTGCAGCAGCAGAGCAGAAGTAGCCTGAGGTGGGAACAACAGATGTGGGAATGGGAGGCAGGTTGCCCTGGCTGGTTTTGCAGAGGTTCCTTAGTAGTTTCTGTCCTAGCAGACCATGGTTGGCACTTTGTGCCTACAACTGGAATCATAGTGTAGTATGTTTAGTCCTGGAGCTTTAGGATTAACCATTTTTTTTCTGGGATTCTGACTTGAACAACGTGTGAACCAGAGAGGCTCCTCTGGTGTGCAGAGTAATGTCACCTCAGGGGAAGATTACTCTTGAGTGGTAAAAAGAGTAGGGCACAAATCCTGCTTTCCTTCTTTGTGTATCTAGGCCTGCTTATCTACTTGGACCTATTTATCCACATGCTGTTTATGTAAGCCTGGTCTGCATGGTGCCGTTTCATCCTTCAAAGGGACTGTTTTGGAGGAGAATCTTTCATTAAGGTAGTGCAACACTTTAGCTGCATTCCTGGTCAGGGTTCCCTGTGCCAGTGCTGTGAAGAGGTTCATAAGCTACAGTCCTCCAGCATCTCTTCTTTGAAACATGGGTTTTATAGTTGCATTTTTATAAACTTCAATTTGTGCTCTAACAATTTATTTCCTCCTAAATATTTACAAATGCAGTGCTACTATATTTACACCTGTGAATATATGCACGTAAATACACACATGGACTTTATCTACATGCAGAGACCAGTGATGGAGCTGAGGGAGCTACAGAGCCTTCCTCACTAGGGTTCTGTTGCTTTACCATGAGCTTAAAGGGCTGCCAATGTGGGTAATGTGGCAGTTCATTTCCCACTGGTTGCTCAGTCCTTGATCTCCAAACCAGTTGCAAATTAATACCAGTTTCCTTAGGTTTTCTTTTTGTTCTTGGCATGTGCCCGTTGGATCAATACATTCATACGCCACTTATTTAGTAAGATTTGGGTATGTGTGTAATATCAGATATTGTATGTGACTCAGTATTCCCTAGTTTTACTAATGCTGGGTAGTGATTGTGAAAAATATTCAGTGGTGGAAAAAGGTATCAGTGCCAAATTTTTACTTTATCTTTCCTTTTCCCAGTATTGTGTGTCTGCATTTATACGTCAATAAATAAGGTGCCTTCCCTTAAGTTAATGATTATCTTTGTCAGTAGCTGCTCAAAATGCAGCATGAAAGTTTAACTTGGCAGTTTCACGCACATTAGTGACTAACGCAGTGGACCCCATGAGATATGCAGCTTTTCATCTGGGAAATTGATATATAACATTAGAAAGAAGTAACTGGAATCCTTTACACGGTGCCTCGTTAAATCAAATGACCTTTTATCTGCACTAGTAACTTCCTACTCATTTTTCGTTTGTGCTTGTTAGGACTATTTATCTTCTACATTTTTTGCAAGGTATTTATGACTACAGTGTTGTCATCATGTTATTTTTGTTTATGAATGCAGTTTGTTGGCTTTCCTAGTATCAACCCTTCTTCTCCCCCAGTGTAATTCTTTTCCTTCTAGGTTCGTATGATGAAAGACAGTGATCCATCCTGGAAGCCCACTTTTATTGTAAAGCCTGATGGAGGGTGCCAAGGGGATGGAATCTACCTCATTAAAGACCCAAGTGACATTAGGCTGACGGGAGGTGTCCGACCAGCTGTGGTCCAGGAATATATCTGCAAACCGCTGCTTGTCGACAAACTGAAATTTGACATTCGTCTTTATGTCTTACTGAAATCTTTAGAGCCCTTAGAAATTTATATAGCCAAAGATGGACTTTCTAGATTTTGTACAGAGCCCTATCAAGAACCCACTCTAAAAAATTTGCACCAGGTTTTTATGCACTTAACTAACTATTCACTCAATATCCATAGCGGGAACTTTGTCCATTCTGACAATGCAAACACTGGCAGCAAAAGGACTTTTTCAAGCATCCTGTGCAGACTGTCTTCCAGAGGAGCTGATGTCAAAAAGCTGTGGTCAGATATTATTTCACTGGTGATTAAAACAATTATTGCACTGACGCCAGAACTGAAAGTTTACTATCAGTCTGACATACCAGCAGGAAAGCCTGGGCCAACTTGCTTCCAGGTAGGTTGGCATTTCTGCCAGGAATGTAATTATTTCTATGCATGGATTAATTTTCTGGATGCTTAATTTCTTTTCTAAAAGCTTTCTCTAATTATCTTGCTGATCACTGGTTTTGGCTGTAGTGCAACCACTGAGCAGTGCAACTTGGGGCATGCATCTCCTGAGCTCAGAGCTTAGGTTCTCCTCACTCAAGTTTTTCCTTACAAATCTGGTTCCTCACCTATGTTACTACTTGCTGTAAACATCTATGGAGAATTGTCAGTGGGTGTCAATTATTAGTAGCAGTATTAACTCCAGTTTCCATCTTCTAGATGTTACAACTATGAAGTTTTGCAGCTTCTTGATGCAGCTATGATGGCAATTGGAAGGTCCACCTGTCCTAGGTGCTAAGGCTCTACGTTGTAGATGCAGTATTTAGAGACCGGGGTAGTGTGGAAGTTGCCATTAGTGTCAAAGACAAGTGGTTTCAGTAATTATTTAGCAATACAACATATTTCTGTTATTTCTCTTTTGTCCCTGAAATGTTTCTTCCTCCTGAGCGTTGACGTGGGGATGACCACGCTGTGAGGAGAGTGGAAGTAACACATTACTTGTTTTGTTATGCACAGATTCTAGGGTTTGACATTCTCCTGATGAAAAACTTGAAGCCCATGTTACTAGAAGTAAATGCAAACCCCAGCATGAGGATAGAACATGAGCAAGAGGTAAGACCCCTCAATGTGACAGTGAGATTGGAATTAAATTGTTTAGGTTTGGTTTTCTGGTCTTTTTTCCTGTTTGAAAGATGAAAGCTGTCTGCTAATATGAAACCTCCAAGCTTCTCTGTAATTTTCTGCTTTGAAATCACTGCTAATCTTATACACTTGAAAAATGACTTATTGGAATGGTGAAACCTCTCCATCATCTTTGCCATAAATACATTTATTCATCATCCCCTGCAGTTGATTTAATTGTATTTAGAGGGTTACTAATAATTTTTTTCATGTTTGTATACATAATGCGAGTGGTAACATTGGCAACAATCTTTTTTAAATATTTGAGTTTACTAGAGAAACTTGCCAATTTTTTTTTAATATTATACTGAAAATGTTCAGCTGTTTTTGTATCCTTTAAGAAGTATTTCGTGATCTGTCATTGTACACTTAAACCATACATGACATGCACGAAGTCTGAGCAAATGTGGAATAAATAATCCTTAGCTCTGTGCTTAATAATTGTATCCCTTTGTCATTTCAAGCTTTCTCCTGGAGTATTTGAAAATGTCCCAAGCCCTGTTGATGAAGAAGTGAAAGTTGCTGTTATCAGAGACACTCTCCGGCTGGTAGACCCTCAGAAAAAAAAGAGAAAGGATATCCAGTAAGTGCTGACTTTCCTTCTTCTTGCATCTGTGCCTTGCAGTAATTATGAATTTTACAAATAATTTTCCCCAGTGATGCTTGTTAATTCAGGACAATGAGTTTTGGACTGTCTGTGTGACTCCTTTTACATCCACAGTGTTAACTCTCTTGAAAAAACTGGTAGGACATGAATTGGTGGTGTGGTACGGAGAGAGTGTTAATTTGCTTTAAAGCCACAAATTGCTCTGAATGAACTTCCCCATTGGAGCTGGAAAGGGCGAATGTTGTGTTTAGAAGTGGCTTCCTTGAGAAGAAGCAGTTACAGCTGTGAGCTGGAAGTGAGAGGGACTGCCTGAAGCAGCTTGCACAGAAATGCTTGTGGTGGAATCAGGCTGAGAGAAAGAATATCTTCTTTTTTGAAACACTTTGTTTTAAGCATTTCCATGGAGACATGAAAGGGAGGTTTTTTGGGTTTTTTTTGCCCCTTGGAATTCTTGCTTACAGACCTGCCTGCACTTGCAGTGTCACTGTTGGGCTTCTCTTGGTACCTGGTGGCAAGCTTAAATGTGTTATTCATGCCCTATTATGATTTCAAGGGCAAACTACCTGTCCTTGCGTAGACAGAGTTCCATGAGCAAGACATGACTGCTAATACTTTAAGTTCTGTATTTCTGTAATACTATTATAAGACCAAACTTCTTTTAGAGGATGTGCCCCACATAGAGGCTGCTGTGGTCAGAGTGTCTTGCAATCTGTACTGTGTGTTGCCTGTATTTGTCCTTCACCCTTAAGATTACTTCAATGCACAGAGCTGAAAAAGATAAATTTTAACCTGTAATTATGTAGTAATGTTTTCTTTTTTTAATGTTGAAGTTATGTCAGGCATTCATTAACTACATATTAGATATGGAAAAAAGGCAAATGATAATTGCACATAAATTTCCGGAGAGCACTGGCATGTGTGGAACACTCATTCAAGTGAGGATTTCTCTCTGGTGCATTTTGAGTACTACATAATTTATAACAGGATTAGTTGGTGATGAGATAAAACCATTGGCTCTTCACGGCAAGAATCCTGCAGCTTTTGTTCAGGATAATCTGGTTAACAGCACATCTTGTTGATAAATATCTGTGTGTCTTCACCACGAGTCAGTCCTACTGCTTGCTACAAAGGGCAAGATTTGGGTCACTTTTCCTGTGGACATACAGCAGCTGCCCACCCAGTCAGCTGAGATTTACCCCTTTAGGACAAGAGGAAATGAGGTCAAGTTGAGCCAGGGGAGGTTCAAATTGGATAGAAGGAAAAATTTCTTCACTGAAAGAGTGGTGAGGCCTTGGAACAGGCTGCCCAGGGAGGTGGTGGAGGTACCATCCCTGGAGGTAGATGTGGTTCTTCAGGAGATGGTTTAGTGGTCATGGGGATGTAGGGCTGATGGTTGGACTTGGTAATCTTGAAGGTCTTTTCCAACCTGAATGATTCTATGATTCTTCTTCCAAGTACTTTTGGTGGGACTTCTTCAGAGAGACATGATCTTAATGTGAGCTTCAAGTCAAGGACCTCATCCTGGTCACTAATGGAGTTTTGCACCAAAGTAAAAGCACTGGAGAGAAGAACTGAGCACCGCTTGCTTTTGCCTCACCTTCATTAGCAGAGGTTTTTTCCCTTTGTCTCCTGCCCCTCACTCATTCCAGCACATTTCAGCAGTTCTAACGTGTGCTCCCATGTCCCCCCTCCAAACCCCCCCACCATTAACTGTAGGGAGATTGTGTCATTCCTCTGCTTGCAGGACAAAAATAACAACTCATAATCGACCAGAGATAGAAAGCTGCTCAGGAGTCACCTCCACTGTCATACTTCTGCTAGTCTAATTGCACCTGGCAGCAGGAAAAGCAAGATTTGGCCTGTTAATAGAAAAAACAAAATAATCTGAAAGAATTCCTCTGCTGACAGCTGACCAGCAGCAAACATTGCAGAGCCTAGTTGTGATGGTAATTAGGTAATGGACATTAATTCAAGTAAAGTTTTAACGATATATGAGTTTGAACACAAGGGAAATACTGAGAAGTCTGAGCTGTATCTCAGGTAAATATTCTGCTGTGAAGATGGATTTGATTTCCTTCTAATTATCTCCCAGATTAAAATAAATGAAGCATCTAAGTGAAAGTGAGTTTTAGAAGTCATCCTGAAGTACTTAATTATTAGGAAAGATTAATAGCTCAGAATTTATTTTAGTTTAATTTTTCCTCATCTTTATGGAGTTTTGATTATTTTTTCCCTCCCTCCTTTCATGTGACACACAACAGTGAAATGTAAGTTGAATAAAATCAGCTTGTCATGCCATACAGATCTCTTAATTTTTCCAACACAGTTTCAGCCTTTATATGCACCAGATCATTGTATCATCAGGAACTTTTCTTCTGGAATGAGAATCTAAAGTTAAAAAAAGCTGGGGAAATGTGGAGTTATTTTTTACTTAATATCCTCAGAGCATCATGTAGAGCAGGTTGCATGTGTCCCTTTGTTGGCCTGGGAAGGGATCAGAGTGTGCATTTTATCCAAGACATTTTACCCAGTAGGCACCATGGTCAGAAAGCCTGGCTGTGCCTGACTTGGAGTGAAATCCTTGTCATGTAAGTAGGTCAAGGTGAGGGGTTGAACTGTGCTTTATGATATTTCTACAAAGAAACTTGCATAAAGCTTGTATAGGATTAAATTTGCTCTGGATTTTCTTTCTTGCAGCAGAGGTGCTGATCACAGCGTGCTGAAGGTAGAAGACTTGCTAGGTGGGACAGGGCTTTATGCAACCTGGTCTAGTGGGAGGTGTCCCTGTCCTTGCAGGGGGGTTGGAACTTAGATGATCTTCTAGGTCCCTTCCAACCCAAACCATTCAATGATTCTAAGACTTCAGCTAAAGGAAATTTGTACAGTTAAATGAATGGTCTAATGACACTGAACAACATTTGAAGTAAATCAATGTTACTTATGTAAACAGCAGTTTAATTAAGATAATCATTGATGCAAATCATTGTTGATGCTGTGCCTCCAACAGGAAACATTTTAAAAAGCTTAGCAAAATTCTACTTTTTGTGCCAAATTTTGAATCTTTATGGTAGTAAAATGTTTTGGTTTCATTGTTTATTTAATTATTAGCAATGTATTCTTTCTGAAATTGCAGTAGATGTGAGGAGGGAAAAGGACTCTGTCTTGTGTGCAAATCCTCTCTGTTCTCCACTGATGTGAGATGGAAACTGTTGGATTGGTAGTGTCATTGCAAGCTGTGTCATATGGAGCAGGTCTGCTCTGAATGGCTTTGGAAGATCATTTATATCACCTCATCAGTGCTAATGACCTGCTTTCCTGTCCTATCAGAAATATTTGTGCCCTAGTCTGTTAATGCTAATTAATCCAGAGATAATAAGAGACTTCTTTGTATTTTTGTTGCTGTTGTTTATTTAGTGTCTCTTCCCTATACATCCTTAGTTTCTTGCTTATTTCCAGACAGAAACGAAGCTTTTTATTCTTTTGACAAAGAAATCATAGTAATATGATGTGTTTGTCATTAGAATTATGAGTTGCTCGTGGAATAATAAAATGCTAGAGATGATGAAGGTGCAGCCCTGTAAGTAATATAATTACTTTTATTCAGCACTGAAATAGCCATTGACAGAAGAAAAAGAATTGAAACACTTTGAAAATGAAATGTAGTTTAATCTATGGCTGTTATAAAACCCAACAAATTTATTGTGCCCACTAAAATGAGTGGCTTTCTTTTCTTACCTCTTATGGCATTGCTGTTTCATTGCTAGTTTATCTTTTCTTGAGTGCTATTCTCTGTTAGTACCACTTCAGTCTTCTGTTGGAATTCAGCCTTGAAATTTATTTATGATGATCCGATTATTTTTTTCTTCTTTTTAAAATATGTCAGGTATGATTCTCTCCTCTGGAGTCTGTGGCTCTAGCAAATGTCAAATATGATGAACTAATTTTCTGAGCAGGAGGAGCCCCAATGTGAGGTGTCTCACGTTTTTGCCAGATCAGCAGCAAATACTGGCTTAATGTCATTGTTCAGAGAGCACCCTGTAAATATTAATGTGTGTCACTTTGACTTTTCTCCTCTCAGTGTTGTGTAGTTAGGTAGAAAGTCTATTTGAGGTTTTGTAGGGCTTACTGCACAAAATGTTAATTTTTCCTACTGTCTGGATTATACATCTTTCTCGCTTTAAATGTTTCCTTTCTCTGATAGAGCACAAAATTAATAGTTTCTGGGAGGTGAATATGTGATCTGCATTAAATTAATGCTGTTAAATTAACTCCTGTTTCGTATTTATGTACTTTGTCCTTCAATGTAACATGTTGCAGTGGCAGCTTCTTCAGGAAGGTGTTTCCTGCTGTGTTAGTGACCAATGGGTCTAACCTTGTCCACTGACTGGAAGAGGAATGTGGGTCTTGACTTAAGTAGGCCTTTCAGTAATGTTTCTCTTTTGTATGTTTCAAAGACAATTTCCAAATCCTCATGCTATTCTGAATTTCTTGATATTGAGGAGCAATTTTGTACTTCCTTAAAGAAGGAAAAAGAAGGTGGAAGTCACCTGTGTGGCTCTATTGCATTCATTTTCCAATATTTTTATTATTTTTTTTTTAATTTTTTTGTCAGTTTATTCAATTTCATAATCTCCACTGATGTCATAAAATATGAAAAAATAGAAATATGAAAATATACTGTGCAAAAAAGTCTCCTAGGTTTTGATGATGGTACAGTCATTTTTGCTGTTGATTGCTGCGTTTATCTCACTAACCATGGTGTGAGGTTATCCTTGTGTGACCAGGGTGGTTTGCAAGGGTCAGAACTCGGTGCATAAAAACCTGGAGAGACTGAGCAGGAGAACAGTGGTGTTGCAGCTACTGCTGATCAGAAAACAAGGGCTGTTCTGCAGGGAAGTGTCTTTGCTTCCCCATCCCTTGCTCCATGGAGTTCTGCAGGGTTTGCTCTGCAGGGGCTCATTTCTCAGGCTCCTCAG